ACATTCAGATACACACAGTTACATGAGTGTTATATTTATTTTTTACTTAATGTAAGCCTTCACGGGAGCCAAGGGTTTATGTTCTGCTATTACATGGAAATTAGGAGACAATCCGGAAAATCCCATAGGTGCGATTTGTGAATGCTTTAGGTTTAGAATTTTGCTCACAATTACTTTGTAGATATGACCCACATTTTTCACTTTTTGTCATTAGGGTATTGTTACATGACATTCTTTCTGATAAAGACTTCCTGGACTAGTTTCTTTTTGGAGATATGTTATGTATAAAAATTTGCCTTCTGTGCACGAAAATTATATACACATGCATAGTACCACATTTCTAAAGAATGACACATATATTACAAGACAAAAATATATCTCATCTACAAGAAATGTCATGGCTTTTTATTTGTGTTTAACAGAATGATGATATTGGTCTGTTATATTTCAGAAAGTCATGTATTTCTCATAATCCTGAGCACCATCTATAATGTGCCTCCAAAAATAATCATGTAGGGAATAAAAAAAACCCAATAATTTATTATTTACGTTTTTGACAGTAAAAGGCAGTAAAAGGGAAACTCTAAATTGAGTTTTTAGATGTGTTCAAACTATGCTTTTCAGTCTTCTTCATACATAAAATATGAGACGCTTCTTCAGAGCTTCCATTCATATAGAAAATTGACCAATCTATTTCTACAACTGATTTTACTTATGACACAAAATCTTTATTACCTGTTCATATTTTGCAGCAGAGGTGAAGGCTGAACCGTGTTATTTTCCTGGGTCGCTTCCTTTTAATTTAACCTTTGAGGGTTACTTTTTTGCAAAAGCAGAAGTCGCAAAATACTTTCTTTTAGTAGGAATAAATAGATATTTTCAATTAATGGAATTTTCAGGATAACATTTACTGTTCGTGAATATTTCAAATTCCTAATCTTGAACTTCTTAGTTCTGTTTACCCATTGAAACTGAGTTATAAAATGCTGAAACAATTCTCAAAGGTATGCTTGCTAAATCCAAGTATGTATATAAAAAAACAAGAACAAAACACATTGCAATGGAACCACAGTGTTTTCAGTAAAACATGCTTATATAATTCTCCCTTCATTTTAGTTAACGTTTTGTTCCTACATGTACCTCATTACAGATAAAGACCAATAGTGAGTTAGTTATGGAATTTCAGGAAATTAAAAAGAAAACAGGTAATTACTTTATTTGCTAACTGGAATTTAGAGTGCAAGTGCAAATCAGATATATTTGTTCATCACTACAGCTTGATGTTTCAAATGGACACAAACCTTTTTTAAATAGTACTGTCACCGTCTGGGGACTTTGCAGAATTTGCAAAGACCCACCAACGGTAACCAGGGGAGGGGGCAAAAGTGAGTTTAAATTATATGAACGTATCCCCATCTTCTTCCTGCGGCTCCTCTTCTGCTTCAGTACCAGGAGCCGAGAACAGCATTCAGGTCTACGGAGGATCCCACAGAAGCCTCCAAAGGTAAAGCCAGCTCCCTGCAGCTGTCACACTTAGTGTATAAGAAAGTCAGGCATAGGAAATATACTGAGACAATGTAATTTCTACTTTGTCTCAGTATATCCTGGGTTGGAATTTCAGTGAGGTTCCAACACAGTCAATATGAGTATTTCATAAAGATTCTATCTTCACAAAATACTAATTTTGCAGAGGGATGGGGGTCAACAGTGCTGCTTAAAATCTAGACTCGAGGAATGGTAAAAGTGCCAAAATCTTGCATTAATAATGTGCAAGGCAACTCCCTTACTTACAAGCCTTGTTAGACTGCTCTTTTGTATGAGAAAGATGAGATAAAGATCATATACTGGTGCCAAATACTGTTCGTGTCAGTAAGCAATTTTGTAGTGAATTTCACTTGCTTTATCACTTCCTTTTGGCAAATTCAGTTTTGGCAATAAGTAACTGACTTAAAATTCTGTAATATATGTATTCAAACAAACTGTTTGTTAGGTAATATCTTAAACATATACCGTATATACTCGTGTATAAGCCGATCTCATGTATAAGTCGAGTGCAGTTTTGTGACCAACAATTGTGAAATATGCTATGCCTCGTGGATAAGTCGAGGGTAAAACTTGGGGCTATGAAATTCTGTGATTTTTATAACTATATACACACACACACTCATACAAACACACACTCTGCATTATATACACACACACTCATACAAACACACACTCTGCATTATATACACACACTCTGTGTATATAATGCAGAGTGTGTGTTTGTGTAGTGTGTGTGAACTGGGTGGGGGGAGGGCATTTTTATTATTTTAATTTTTTTTTTTAATTTTAATATTATTTTTTTATTATTTAAAATTTTTTTTTGTCCCCCCCTCCCTGCTTGTTAACTGGTCAGGGAGGGGGGCTATCTTAATCCCTGGTGGTCCAGTGGCATGGGCTGTGAAGTGGGGGGGGGGCGGCAGGAAGCATTTACTTACCTTTCCTGCAGCTCCTGTCAGCTCCCTTCTCCTCCGTTCCGGTCAGCTCCACTGTAAGTCTCGCGGTCTGGTTGCCGCGCGGATCGTTGCCATGGCTCTGACGGCCGCGGCTCTCTAAGTTGCCATAATACAGACAGTGACTCGAGTATAAGTCGAGTGGGGGTTTTTAAGCACAAAAAATTTGCTGAAAAACTAGACTTATACTCGAGTATATACTGTAGTAAATATGACCTTACACTAACCATATACCTACTATAACCTTACCCAGCATTAACCCTTACATTACCCTAACAAAAATAACCCATACTAGACCTAACCCTTCAACAAACTCTGACCCAGCCCCAACCCCTAACCCTAAGGAAACCCTCTGACTATCAGTACTCATATCAGCAGCTGGGGTGGCAACTGTTAAAACAGTAGAGACGCAAGGTTGCCGCCCGATAACATGTTTTCTGTTTTACAGAAAGAGATCTCTGTATTACACCAGGGAACTGTTCTCGGCTAGCACAGCACAAGGGCATTATTAGATTTCCCTGTAATACTGAATCCAGACAATTACACTGTGATCGGTGCTGGGCATCTGGCAAAGTTCAGCACCGATCACAATTGACTTAGGGACATGCAGGGAGACTCTGATAGATCTTGGGGGTCACCCTTCAGCAGCCTGCAATACTAGAATCACTGCAGCTGAGCATGATTTAAATGGCTGTATTGACTAAAAATGCCCAAGCTGATTGATACCTGGGACTCCCTAGTGTGGACAGGGATTTAACAATGCTTTTACCATACCAAAACTGCAGGACGTTCCATGCTCTCCTAACGGCATTAAAGTCCACACTGTGAAGGACAGCATGGAACGTCCTAACTTCAGGAAGGGATCAGCTCCTAAATGGAAAATAATTGAGCAGCGAGACTGTAGGGGCATAATCTATACACCAAAACTACATAATTAAGCTAAAGTTGTTTTGGTGCTTAGAGAATCCATTTAACTCGAAAATCACAAACTTGTGCAAACTTCCACCCCACAAGAGAAGGTTATGAATATGTCTTTTTACACAGCTGTTTAACCCTACAAGTCCTGGGAGTCACAGCATGACCAAACTAGGTAGTTTTAAAGCCCCAGGGCAATGATAAGTTGGTTAGAATTATGGGCAGGAAAAGAAAAGTGCCACAATGTTCTTAATATTCATATGCATATTTTGCAATGCATATGGCGTGTAATTCACGATGTTATCATTGAATCCCTTTCTATGAAACAAAGGGAATTTGAGTTCTTTATTTTATTCAAACACTGCACGTTATAATATTATGTTGACTTTTCTTAAATCATTGGGTAGTTGTTATTACATCTCCTGTACTATAGTACCGCACAGTTGATCAGTTATCAGCATTTATATAGCACCAACATATTCAGTAACACTTTACAATTTAAATGTGGGAATATAACAGAAACTGTGTTAGCAGGAAAGAAAGTTATTGAGAATCCAGGTTAAATCGCCTTATTCTAATCTATTCTAATAAGAGCATTGTCAATTTGTCATAAAACTATAACATTTACTCAATAAATACTGGATTGTGGTATATTAAAAAAAAGAATTGTAAATTAGGCCACAATAGTTGATTTGAAAAAAACCAAAATCTTTAACTTTGCTACACTCACAGTTCTCTTCTTGCACATCAGTTTTCAATTCACTACAATACACTTAAGGTGACACAACCTCTCATAATGTAACAATCCTGGCACACTAGTCCAGAGACAGACATAGGCAGAGCTACCAACTGTCCTGCTTTGGGGTCCCATCCTTCCACCCCGATTTTGTTCCCTGGTGTACTGCATTCAGGACACCAGGGATCTGTCCTTGGGTAGCACAGCACAAGGACATCATTAGACTTGCTTGCCCTGAGTGGGGAGCATTATGACCATGCAGAGAGCACTTCAGCAATCCTCTCTGCATGGTCTTGTATGTAGGGGTGGCTCTCAGTCCGCCTGCCATGCTGACACTACCCTTCAGTGGATGGACACTCACTTCCTGGGCAAGATTACCCATTATGGGTATCTTCAGTGGCACAAATGGCAACGCTGGCAACACTCCCCTCAAGCCTTACTCACCCATCCCAATTCTGTATCTCTCAATGTTTGTAAGTATGCATGGATATGTGGTAGGGGTGTGCCAGGTGTCCCTCAAGCACACCTTAATGAAAACAAATTTGTACTCGCTGTCCCCAATTTTATTCTATATGGGTACTTTAGCAAGAGTTTGGGTTAGTGTTTTTTTTTCTTTTAAGATCTTTTGAGATATAGGGCTTAACTTATTATTTTTTGATAAGCATATCAAATGATTTCATATTTTTGGATTCACTTTTAAAATATTTTTTTTTTCAAAACTAGTGATATCCCGAACTGTTCGCCGAACGGTTTACGAACGGTTCGCCAAGAACGGTTCGCCATGGACTCATCATTGAGTAAACTTTGACCCTGTACCTCACAGTCAGCAGACACATTCCAGCCAATCAGCAGCAGACCCTCCCTCCCAGACCCTCCCACCTCCTGGACAGCTCACTAAGAATGCAGCTTCACAATGGATGCTGTCAAGGAGGTGGGAGGGTCTGGGAGGGAGGGTCTGCTGCTGATTGGCTGGAATGTGTCTGCTGACTGTGAGGTACAGGGTCAAAGTTTACTCAATGATGAGTCCGTGGCGAACCGTTCATGGCGAACCGTTCGGCGAACAGTTCGTGACATCACTACTGAGCACCCCTATGGAGACAGAGAGAGTAGACAAATAACCAGTTGGCCAATCTAATCAGTCTGTGCTGAAACTGTAAACGGTAAATTAAAAGGATTAGGCCACCTCCTTTTCCACACTGCTTGCAAATAAGTAGTCCAGCACTCACTCCCTGTACTTGAGACAGGCCCTTACACAGAGACAGCCATCCCTCGTGACTGTATTAATCTTCCTACATCCTCGCTTACCCACTTATGCCACTTTCACTACATCCCTTCTTCCCCACGTTTATCCCTTTATGCTCTCCCCATATCCAATGCTTACCTTTGGGTGGGACAATCAGTAAGCCATCCCTAAAATATAAAGTTACGGGGTGAAGGAACATGGAACTGTCACTGATCTGGAAGTTCCCTGGTGTCCCCAAATGTAGAACATCAGGGAATTAAAGCAAGGCGGTTGGACAGCACCCCAAAATCAAGACTGTCCCACCGAAAACCAGGCAGTAGGGAGACATGCTTTTGGGCTCAAATCCCCCCCTTTACATGCATGCTCTTTGTAATTAAGACTTACAACCAACCTATAATATCATACTTACTTTATTGTGTTATTTATGCAGTTGTTTATTTCTTCAAATGATTGTAATGCTTGATTATGAATGTTTGGATGGAAATAACCTCTCCCCCTCCCCCCCCCCTCCAGCTCTTTTTATCCCTCATTTTTGTTCTCTGTTTTCCCCTTTTTATTTAATTATAAATTATTGTTATATGAAGATTTAGAAAAAATGTAAATAAAAAAACATTTGGCTTGGAAAGAAAAAAGAAAATGAAATCAGTCTGTGTAAATATGTAAATAAGACACATTGTTCTTGTTTTAACCCCTTAAGGACCAAACTTCTGGAAGAAAAGGGAATCATGACATGTCACGCATGTCATGTCTCCTTAAGGGGTTAATTACATTTTGGTTACATACATTTTGATTAATAAGTCACCTAAACATTTCTCAGAGCAGCCTGGCTCTGGTCACACCCCCACTAACACCTCTAATCTTAATATGTCCATCTGTCTATTTGAAATGTTGAGAGGTATGGCGGTGTGTGTATGTGTCAAAGTGAGTGTGTGTCAGTATGTCTGTATATCATTGTGTGTCTGAGTAGGCATAAGTAGCTGTGTATGTGTGTCAGGGTATCCGTACGAGGATCTTTGTGTTTCAGGGATGGCTGGTTTTGCCTAGACTCACACAAATTCTTAGATTAGGGAATACACTGGTCCCTGACTGTCAGCAGTGCTTACTCTGTCTATGTGCTATATACATTGATGATTAACAACTAAATAATTACCAAGACAAGTATGTAATGGACAGAATAGGAAAGTGTATATATTTATAGAGACTGCCTCCTTGTTTAGTAGGCATCTTGTGAATTCTGTTTATTATTATTTTTCTTCTTCATGTATTTATTTTTAACTATTTGACTAGAGGCAGCTTATCTTACTTCCCCTTACAGCTCCCTTGCCTGTGAATGACTGTTCCCTAACAGATGTCTTTTTCAAATAAGCTTTCAAGGAGCTGCATATCTGCTTCATAATGGGCCTGAAGGGAAACTATGGGTTAAAAATCACCCCCCAAGTTCAAATGCATTGTAAAAATAATAAATCAAAAATAATGCACAGAAACTAAAATAAATACAGTATGCTACTCTATTATTACATTGGTGCACTCACCAGGAAGAAACCCTTATACCATGACACCCTGCAAAGCAGGTTTTATAGGATAAGTATCGCCCTTGGAGCAGTTTCACTTATCCACTTATAGCTGTCATACTTAAACTCTTCGCAAGCTGAAGTATAGTGATTAGAGTAACCCGTAAAGGGAAACTGTAGCGTTAGGAATCAATGTATTGTTAATGCTATAGTGTTAACCTACCTATTGCCCTTACTCTCCCCCCCCCCCCGAACTACAGAAAAAAATTGTATTCACCTTTACTCCCTCAGTGCACCAGATCCTACTGCAGGAGCCAGACCTCCCTCGCTGAGATCATCAGTACTGATGATCTCATCCAATCCAATGCTTCCTTGAGAGGCTGGTGCACATGCCTTTAAAATTGCTGCCCCATGCCAATCAGCATCTCCTCATTTCCTGAGTCTTCATTACTTTGCCAGACTGAGCTTCTCTATGGGGAATGTTCAGCATCTCCATACAGAGCGTGGAGACACCGATGTCAGTCCTGCCTTAATTGGAAGTCCCTTTAGTGGCTGACAGAGTTAGAACCACTAGAGGTGGAGATAGGCAGATTTTACACTTCTACGGATGCAGGGGCAGTCTCTATGACCCAGGGCCACTACATTAAGTTGTAGTGGTTCCTGGTGCCTATAGTGTCCCTTTAAAAAAATAAAAAAATAAAAAACTGAACAAGAAAACTAGCATATTATGTATGCAATGCATATCTAGTGCATACATAAAACTGTGACTTGGTGCAACAATATTGATGATGGATACATAAAAACAAGTTATGTAAATGTACATACTTTTATTTATTTTTTTATTTATTCATTCATTGTTTATAGAATTATTGATGGAATAAAATATTTTAGAGATTACATGTTTCTGACACAGATATGATTGTTGAAAATTGTTAAATAAAAATGGTCAAAAACGTCCTATTTGTACGGAAACTGGTGCTATTACTTAAAACTGCCACCAGAAAGTAAAAAAAAAAGAATACAGTATTTATATGTGTATAATTCCACATTTAGTGAGTACTGTTACATCCAGCATATACACATATGCACTGTACATGTTACAGATGTCTACACACGTATAACATCTACATCTCACAACATACTTGAAATCTAGCGACAAACTAAATTTACATTTCCTGGTTTAAAACGCTGATATTAATATTGTAATTATTATTATTATTATTATTATTATATCATTGCAGGCTATAATTGCATAAAATGCCTGTAGTTAGCTCAGACCCATCTCTCTCTTCTATTTGCTCCATTGTTACTAGAATGAAGCCATTCATTTTGACAAAAGGTGTGTGGGGAGATACTGAGAGACAGAATGGAACAATGACATAGAAATCAATTTCTTTCATTTTGGAGATAAAATAAAGGTAAATTGAGTTAACGCACTACATTGCATTTTACTTTGATTTGCAGTAGAAAATTAAAATGTGTACATCTACATATTGTTGGGGTTGAATGTGTTAAAGATCGGTTTAACCAGTTAAGGACCAAACTTCTGGAATAAAAGGGAATCATGACATGTCACACATGTTATGTGTCCTTAAGGGATTAAAGTACTCCACCCAACCACCTTTCCTTGAACTGGCTTAATCTGACTCTTTCAACTAACTTTTAATATAAGTTGGTTCAAAGGGTGGATATGGTTTAACCTACATACCTGATTTCAACAGTTGTATTGGTTATCTGGCTGACAATAAAAATCTGAATTTTTGACAGAATATTGGTGTTAATACAATCAGTACAAACATATACGGTAAAGACTCCAATAGTAATTTTTTTCCAATAAATATATTTTGTTGTCAGCATAAGTTTGAAAATAATGTAAAGATGCTTTAAGCTGGACTTAACATATAAAGTGTGCACATACACGGGATAGAAACATTTATTAAACTGGATAATGATTTATCAGCAAGTATTGTGTGACACACTATACTGTTAGCTCTGTCCATTTTTTCTCTAGCGAAGGATACAAATGCACAACAGGATAAAACTAGGCAGCATTGTAAAACACTGTGTGTGTAGATTGTGTTACAGGTCCAGATTTGAACAAGGGGGATTCATAAGACATCTGAAAAATCCCAGGGTATTTGATATAGAAACACCAAGGTCAGAGATAAGCTCTCACACAAACAATGAACATTAATGGTCTTGACAGGTCTGTCTCAGTTTCCTTGCTTTAAATGTCAAGCTTACATTTCTCAGCACATTGAAAGGTGGTTACATTCTGGGTTCAAATGACACTGAAGACAAGCCTTTTTGTGGTCAGTGATGTCACCATCACCAACAATCTGTAGGACATTACCTAAAAAATACTGCCTTAGAATGTCAATGACCTTGGCAGCTGGTAATACAATCACATGCGTATAAATATGTTTTATCCATCAGTTAGAGAAATGTATTTTTTGTGAAAATGCTCAGTATCAATTCTAGCTTCAGTATGAAATACAAAGGGGTCTATTTACTGAACAGTGACTGGTGGTGAATTGAAAACCGAATTACAAAACCCAGGTTAAAATAGCTAGTTAAGTTTGTGAATTTTTGCAAATCAATATTTTTTGTCCTTAATTGTGCATTGTTTTTTCTTTTTTTCAATTAGCTAGAGTCAATTGTTTAGTGAGTAAAACAGAATCTAAAAATCTGGGGGGGGGAGGGGGCAAAAAAACCTCTCACCTATATTGTAAAATATAAAATGTTGCTACGATGTAGAATTCTAACACTTATTAAAAGAAAAAAGAAAAAATTTAATGTGTGATTCTGCCTTCTTATCTGAACAGGATTTAAAACTGTTCCATGAAATATTGTATTAACATAAAAATGATAAAAACAAACAAGCCAAATATTACGCTATATATATGTATATATATATATATATATATATAGTCACATTTCCTACAAGCATGTTGTATATTCAATAAATGATTAACACAATATGTAGTAAAAGCAGTTAGGTACAATTATGTTTGAGGATTAAGAAGATTTATCACTTACTAACTAGATGTCTGATCCTTTAACCCTATGACTGCATTCCAATGTAAGTCTTATTCCTCTGTTCCATTACATTATAGAGTGGTACCCCTCAGTTACCACACATTACAGGTATGTGAATTCTGCATCAGGTACAGAAAAAGTGCATTGCAGCACACTGATGGAT